ATTTTGAGACAAAGTCTTGCTAAGTTGCTGAGGGCCTTGCTGAGTTGCTGAGGCTGGCTTGGAACTTGCAGTCCTCCGGCCCCAGTCTCCCCAGTTAGGGTGTGTGCCACTCTGTCCCAGCCTCATCATCACACATTTCTAATTATTGTTTTGTCATTTAAATAAAACAGAGAAAAGAGGTATAAACAAAAACCCCACTGTCTTTTATATTTACCTAAGTAGTTAACTTTACTGGTGCTCTTTATTTCTTCCTGCAGTTTGTATCAAGTATCCCAAAAGACTCATTAGGGCATGTTCTCTAGTGTTAAATTCTTTCTGTTTTATTTATGTGGAAATGCCTTACCTTCTCCTACTCTTTTGAAGGATTGTTTCGCTGGATATAGAATTCTTGGTTGATAGTCTTTTTTTGTTGTTTATTTTTATTTATATATTAAAGCAGAATGCATGACAATTCTCATTACACATCGAGAGCACAATTTTTCATATCTCTGGTTGTATACAAAATATATTCACACCAGTTCATGTCTTCATACATGTACTTTGGATAATAATGACCATCACATTCCACCAACATTTCTAACCCCATGCCCCTCCCTTTCCCTCCCACCCTTCTGCCCTATCTAGAGTTCCTCTATTTCTCCCATGATCCCTCTCCCTACCCCACTATGCATCAGCCTCCTTATATCAGAGAAAACATTTGGCCTTTGTTTTTTTGGGATTGGCTAACTTCACTTAGCATTATCTTCTCCAACTCCATCCATTTATCTGAAAATGCCATGATTTCATTCTCTTTTATTGCCGAGTAATATTCCATTGTGTATTTTTGCCACATTTTTTTATCCATTCATCTATTGGAGGACATCTAGTTGGTTCCAAAGTTTAGCTATTATGGATTGTGCTGCTATAAACAATGCTGTGGCTGTGTCCCTTGATAGTCTTTTTCTCTTAGCACTTTGAGTAAGACATTCAACTGCCTTCTGGCCTCCACGGTTTCTGATTAAAAATCAGATGTTAGTCTTATTGAGATTTTCTTATACTTGATGACTCACTTTTGTCCTATTGCTTTTAAGATGCTCTCTTTGTCTTTTGTTTTATTATAAATTGTTTAAGTGTGAATTTCTTGTTGAGCTCTTTGAAGTGATGATTTTTTTTTAATCAAAATTGGAAAAATTGAAGCCATTATTTCTTTCAAATGTTCTTTTCTCACCCTCTCTCCTCTTCTGTGACTCCCATGATGTGTATGTTCATATGCTTGATGACCTTTGAATCTTTATTCATATATATATTATATATATATTTTTTAAATTTCTTCTTTCTGCTCTACAGATTAAAGAATATCAATTGATCTGCCAACAAGCTTGCAGATTATTTTCCTTGGCCTGTTAAAATCTGCTGTTTCATTTTTTAAGTGAATTTTCCATTTCAGTTACTGTACTTTCCAGCTGCAGAATTTGTCAATTATTTCTATGACTTTATACACATTCTCTATTTTCTAGATTTTGTTCTGAGATTTCCTTTGGTTTTTAGATATGGTTTCTTAACATGTATTCTCTGAACATATTTAAATAGTGAATTTAAGTTCTTGTGTAGTGAGTCCAACACCTGAGATTCTTTGGAGACAGTTTTTCATGGGTATAGGCCAAGTTTTCGTGTTGATTTGCATGTCTTATACAAGTGATTTGCATGTTTTAATACAAATATCTGGTTTATTAGCTGAACATTGGATATTTAAAAAATATAATGCGGTAGTTTCTGGAAATTGGATTCTCCCTCCCCTCAGAGTTTGTTATTGTTACTGGTTGTTGTAGTTATTTGTTTAGAGACTTTCCTGAATCAATTCAGTGAAGTATTCTTTGTCATATGAAGTTTCTGTAGTCTCTGCATGGTTATCTTAGTGGCCAATTAATGGTTATGCTGAGAAAGGCAGTCTTGTGTGTGCAATCTTTCAAACTTCTGCTTAGTCTCATGAGAGTGAGCCTTGCGCCTGAGATACCTCCTTACCCTAAGATGAGGAGCTCACATGGTGTGTACATTATGTGGTTATAGCTTTTCCTGCTTCAAACTCAATATGTACTCCTTTTTTTTAAGTGTCTGCATCAAAGGCCCTCAAATATGTCCCCAGTTTTCAGTTTTCAGACTCTATTAGGGAAGGGGAGGAGCCTCTAGGCTCAAGAGCAGTGAGCATAGCCAATTGTTTGGTACCAGTGACTTGGGTCGGGGGACTTGTTAACCATGGGGAGTGATGCACATTACTGAAGTCCTCTTGCTCTGTCTCCTCTCCATCTAAGTGTTTTTCTACCCAGTGCTGACTGTTGTTTTCCTTGGAGATTCCCATGCAGATGCATTGAGCAGAAGTGCATAGAGTCTACCCTGGGGACTGGTGACCACTCTCTCCCCGGGGTTCATAATTGGTATACACTCTTCTACTTATCAGTTTGCCACAATGATCAGAGTTGCCAAAGAAACACACCATGGCAGGGTGTAAATGCAACTCCACTCTACCAGGGGAGAGCCAGCTCCCTGGGTGCAGTGGTTGGTTGAGGCTGGCCACCATCTGGCTGCACAGAGATAAATGAGAGGAGGCATGAACTTCCTTGGAGTTCTGGGGGTTGGAGATGATGTCTGGGGGAGGTAGAGGGCCTGGTACAGGGAGTGCTTGAGGACCTCTAGTGAGATGTGTTTTCTTGTAGTGCTGAGCAACTCTTGGTGCTGTTTAAAAACGGGGGAGAGTAGACAATCAAAGGGCAAATAAGGACAAAGTCCAGGAAAGTCTCATGCAGCTCAGTTGTGGATTGTCTGATATTGGATCATTTTAGACCCAAATGTCTCGGGTAGAATGACACATCAGGATGGAAACAAGGCATGTAGGTCCCACCAGACACCAGTGGCCCTGTGCCCCTGTCAAGATTAAAAGGGAATCCAGGAAATTCAGACTTTCAGGGGCTTTTGGATACTGGTGCTTACATGACAATATTTTTAGGAAATATTAGGGGGAAAATTAACCTGGTGACATTGTGGGGGAGGGAGATTTGGGGAAAATTCAGTGACCCAAAGTGTTTTTCTGCTTGTGGTCATTGAGTTTGTGTGAGGGCCCCTTGGGCCATTTTGGGGTGCTGGTGACCACGGTTCCCATTGTGAGTCACAGGGCTGACATTTGGCTGCTTGTGGCACAGAATGTCACCACCTCCTGAGGAGGTATGTCTCTGCAGAGCTAAGAATGTGAGCCACACAGTGGGACGGGTGCTCTTTGGCCTGACACCTGAGGTACCCAAACACCTGTGGGCTACTCAATAGAAAGCAGCCTGCAGACTGGGTGGACCAGGGGGCATTGCTTTCTCATCTGGGCACTGGCTGCAGCAGGGCTGATACACACCACCTTGTCCCAGGGACAGTCGGGCTCGGCCGGCCCCACAGGCCTCCAGGGCCCAGAGCTGCCAGTGGGCTCTGCAGACTGAGTGCTGAGGTGC